TTTTTGTTACAATTAATAACTTTCTCAACGTGACAGCAATAAAATTGAAATGAAACTTTAGACTATTAACAAAGTCAAGATTATTAATGAGAAAAGTGTTAAATCCTGTACGTCAATTTTTAATCTTAACCGTGCAGGGCGGTTTTAAATGAACTCACCATTTTTTTTTCTAACGGTGAAAAAGTAGGCAATTAATTAAATTAAGAGGAAAAGGCATGCTAGTGAATGACGGTAGAGCACCGGAATCCACAGGCGAAAAGCATTTTACACTGACAATTTACCTGCGACGGATAAAATAAACGTTCAAATATAAATTTATGGGTTTGTCAAATTATAAGTTAATAGTGTAATTATCTTTAATATACAATCATCAGAATATTAATTATTTGAATATTAATACTGAATATTAATTATTGACGTGAAATCTAATGTATATTTTGATTTAAAATAAATGAGTGTTTTAACGCGTCCAATTACGACTGCGTTGTTTAGATTATTAAATTTTTTCGTAGTATTCTAAATATGACACAACAAATTTATATTAAGTATCATTCTTTTCTGCCTAGTATTTTATATAGTTATTCAGACACCATTTAATCAACGTTTTAAATTTTCTTTCAATTAATTAATGTTTTTATGTAAGGTTATTGGCCGAAATGAAAAAGTTATTGCCATGAGCGGGATTCGAACCCATGTCCTTTTGCTAAATACGCCGCTGTTCTACAACTTGAACTATCGTGACGTCGATCCACTCGGACACCAACTCCCATCTCAATCTACAACCTTTCGAATTTTTTCTCTTTTTGCCAATTTTCAATTTTATTTTACCGCGGGTTCGCAACAGCAGAGATTATTATATCAACTCTCGGGGTGCCGGTTTTTTTTTAATAAAGCACATTTGTAAGTATGTCGAGTTCGAATGCAGGGCCGCTGGATTCGAAACCGGGATCTTTACCTTACAGTGATGAACGCCGTGTCAACGCCCAAACCGTTGCGGCCAGCGACAACCCTATTCTTGGATAAATTCTAATTTGCTTAAAGTTTGTTGTAACTTGTTTCTGAAAACGACGATTTGCTGTTCACCCAACGTTAGTAATACCATGTGATCCTATGCGATTTAAAGAAAATTGAATGACCCTATTGATTTATGGGCGTAATTAAAGACAGAAACTACTACCTCTAGGCGTACTTCTAATCTGGTTCTACTCGAAATTTCGCTGGTTTTGTCTTTTAGACGCTTTTCATCATTTATGCATATCAAATTAATTTATCAATAGCGGAAATTTCTGAACAACCGACCTGTTAACAATAGACATATTCTTGGTTATAAGGTAATGGTATTTGAATGCTTAGAAATGTAGTTTTAAGGACTAAAGGGGAGGACATTCCGCATCCTTCACTCATAAGATTGCCCTTGACAAAATATTAAATTCCAAGAATACAGGGGGTACATATGGGGGGGGTATATATACAACAAATATTGAACAAACAGGGAAAGGGGTAAAGCAAAAAGTATACTTCCACCTCGACATGCCAACAAAAGTCTTACTACTTCGAAGTACATATTTTATCAAATTTGTCGTTTTATTTTCTTTACTAATATAAACTCGAAACTATTTGTAGGATTAATATTAGATAGAATTATATAAAATGGTATAAAATATTATTGCTTTTACTGTTAATTGTAATTAAGGTAATTTTGTATTGTATTTTATAGTAATATAGCGTTCGGTGTATTAAAAAGTTAAAATTTAAAATGAAGAAATAGACTTTATTATGGTACTTAAGTGCCCACCTCGCCTTCGTGAATAAGAAATTATAAACCCAATAATCTATTTACAAAAGATTCATTTCCGATTATGCTACACAAATGTAGAAAAAATGTCTGTTAAAAAATAAAATAGTATAAAACATAAAGAACTTGTACATACACGTAAAGAAAAACTAAAAATTCAAATTAATCATGATGGACATAATACTAAAAAGAAACAAGAAAGAATAAATATCTTGTTGTAAGGACAAAAGTTAAAATTTCCGAGATTGGAGGCAAGGATGAGAAAAAAAGCAGTTTTCTGTGGCGAGATGGATAGAGGTCAAAAGTGCAGAAGCGAGTTTTACGAAATTGTAAAAAATTCTAAAAGAAAAGAGTTATGCTTTTATGTATAATATATGAAGAGAATAGAAGAAATTGTCTGATATAAGAAGGAGAAATCGAAGGATTGTTTGAACTAGGAAAAGTTAATTCAATTCCATGTACGGATCAGCCAAGTAGACTCCCTTATGGAGCCGAAGACAATGCGTACTAAAATATTCATCAAATGTTTAAACTAATCATCATGATAACCAGTGAGTCCCCTGTACACAACAGTTCTATAATAGTGAAGAAGAGGGAGGAAATTAGAACAGGAGTCGGAAAGTCTGGAGCATATGGAGCATCAAAAACAAGTCATAACAAAACCAATCTTAAGGTTCTGGACAGGGCGAGAATAGATTGATTGTTAATGATATCCGAAGGGAAAAGAGGTAAGGATTGGAGTATAGAACTGGATCTGAACACATCAGCCCGGAGTTTTCTACATTTAATTCGGGCCCATTGTCTCCGGCACAGGAACTAATTGAGTTTATGTCCTACCAAATTATGACAATTACAATTTGAGAGTCAAAATGTGTGAAAGAAATGAAAATTTTGAAGCCACCTCATAAAATTGATCAAACTAATATTTCATGGATTTAGGAAAGAAGAAAAGCAGAGCTGATTGAGCCTTGAGAAGTTACCTATATTATGGCATGTCATAATATATTTTATTGTATTCTGCCATAAATTAAGGTCCGGGACAAAAAGATAGCCACCCAATATTTTTTCTCTTAATCAATTTTAACCATTGATATAATTTTTTTATTAATATGAGCGTATTTTGAACCGATTTTCTCCATTAGGAATTGGAAAAAAATAATTTGTAAGAATTAGTAAATATACTTGATTTGGGGTGAGACAAAAAGATAGCACAGTGAACAATATAAATAAAATTCTTTATTAAAACACAATTAAAATAACATCAATTAAATTTAATATCCTGTTTATGCACCACCTTTTTCTAATGCAGCAATCATACGATTTAAAAGCGAGTCAAAATGACGACGAATCATCTCTTGTGGAAGTTTGGCCCACTCCTCCTGAATTGTTTTTTCCAATTCTCCAACGCCCTGAAATTGTCGGCTACCGCTGTAAACACTCCTAGCAAGATGCCCCCATACATTTTCGATGATATTAAAATCCGGAGTCCTAGCCGGCCAATCTATAATTCTGATCCTTTCTTTTCTAAAAAATTCTTTTGCAACTTTTGCCGTGTGAACTGGAGGATTATCTTGCTGAAAAATTAAGTTCTCTTTAGGCACAAGTTCAAAATATTTTTTTAATTGGTTTTCTAACAAATTAACATATTGTTGGCTGTTCATTCAGACCAGAAATAAACACAATATCAGTTTTGTGATCGTAGCCAATACCACCTCATATCATGGCGCTGCCTCCTCCCATTTGCCTCTTGGAAAACACTTTCTCTTCTTTTCGTAGGTCATGGTAATAGTGAGCCCAGCCATCGGGACCGTCGAGATTGAATTTTTTTTTCATCGGGGAACAGGACATCCTTCCATTCGTCTATCCATTGCACATGTTCACAGGAAAACTCCTTTCTTCTCTCTTTATGCGCCGTGCTTAGAGGTGGAATGCCTTTCATTTTCATTCTTTTGATGTGAGGAGCTACACGAATGATCCTTTGGACTTTTTCACATTCGTCGCTACACCAGCTCTCGCAGCAATTTGACGGGCTGTTAAAATTGAGTTGAATGCAACCCTTAAAATTGCCCGTTTTTGCCGTGTTGTTAAGGCCGGTAGTCTTCAAGGAGATCTCCCATAGATTTCTGGAGACTTCGAAAAATTAAAAATTACTTTCCTACTCTTAACGGTATTTTTTGAAATACTGGAAATACAAAATCCTCGATTTTTCATTCGCTGAAGGATATTTTTTTCAGCTGGTGTTAATGGTTTTGCTCGTCCCATCGTACTAATATACATCAATGCAGAAACTGAACTGAATTAGCCTTGTTTACTCAGAGGGATTTGGTTTTGTTTGTAAATAAACAACAAGTGTGCTATCTTTTTGTCTAAATCAAGTATCATTCATTAATTCTTACAAAGTTTTTTTCAGTTCTTAATGTAGAAAATCGGTTCAAAATAAATTAAAAAAATTATATCAATAAAAAATTAATTTAAAAAATATATCAATGGTTAAAATTGATTAAGAGAAAAAATATCGGGTGGGCTATCTTTTTGTCCCGGACCTTATGATTTATTTTATTCTAGCTAATCATGCGATTTAACATTATACAAATTGTAAATATAAAAAAGCACCTTTTAATATTTGTTTCTGTTACTAAAATACATACTGTAGCTGATAAATAATCACTAAGATGTGAAAGTACGTATGTTCAAATTTAATGATCATTTATTATTATTAGTACTTCAAATTAATTTTTTAAAAATTCAATTGAGGGTAAACTGCATCGCCTTAAATTTTAAATTAGCCGAAAACGTGACACGGTGACTCAGTAGTTTTTGGTCAGATTCCCATTTTGAACTCTGGGCGGTTGTGGGTTCGGTTGGTACAATTTTGAAGGAATTTTAATTGGTAATAATTAAAGTTTAGTAATTATTATTAGCAAAAGAAATCAATTGAGTGTAAAAATTATAAAAAAATAAAGAGATGTCATATTTTTGCGTTTTACATCACGGCTTTTCAGACTCAACAAATTAAATGAAATCTCATTTTATTTCAATTGTCCGAATATTGTATGTGTCTGATCAGCTCAAGTCTCTCATTCGATAAAAAATCGTTAAGACATGTTTCATATTTACATATTTTCAGTAGTAAATTGATAATTATTAAAAAAATTAACTGATTATAATTAAAATTAGTTAGAAGGTTATAATCAACTCAAAAATGTTTTGGTAAAAGATTTGTTCATTTATTACAAATAATTAAATTACAAAGATTTGTGATTTAAACAAAATTGGTTGGGTTTTTTAAGCAAGATTTATATGGTAAAAGATACATATATGGTTACGAATATAATTTTATGGAAGTGCTTATTTCACTTAGAATAACTCCTCGGCAGACTGGATTGTCAATTCGTGAACCTGAAAACATAAAACAATTAAAAATTAAATTTTTTAAAACCTTTAAAAAAGTATTTTTACCAATATTGAAACAAAACCGTTGATAAAAAATTAAGAACAATTTCTTAAATCTTTTCTAATTATAATTATTATATTTTAATTGTGATCCAAAAATTAATGCTAAAAGAGTACTGTTTTCTCTGACAATCTTATCAAACTTTTTTAAAGTTTCTATTGTTTTCTTTAAAAAAAAACCAAATAACATGAATTACACACCTTCACTATAAACAGTAAAGGATATAAGAATATTAGGTCAAATTTTGAGCTTTCATCTGTTGAAGATGATAAAAAATCGTCCGTAAAACATTCATAAAAGTTAGGCAGTACTGATGACGTTAAAAGTTAATGAAATTATATATAATGAAGTTTCAGGTATCTCAACTTTTTCACGACGTAAACAAACAAAAATTAACTCGATAATGGATCATGAAGGAATAAAGGGCAATGGAATAAGGGTTTCTTTACCAAAAAGAACACACCTCTAACTTTTATCAAGATAAATAGACACGTTTCAGTAATTAATAAATTATTGCTTAAATTTATTGACTGTGCGAGGAAATGAAGGTGGGAAAACAGATAGCACCATTGTTTTTAAGGTAAAATGTCCTTTAAAATGATGGGTCAGGATATATAGGGTGGTATTTGAAATTTTGAAGTTGATGTGGGCCTGTTGGTACACTGTATAATTTTTCTCCAAAAAAATGTAAAAATTTGAAACTAGACTGAAAGATATTAAAATCATAGTTTTTGTTTTTTTGATAGCCTCACTGGACAAGACAAATTTGGCCGGCCCATCTAAAAAGGACACCTTGTATATGAAAAGAAGGTAGATTTATAGAAATAGATGAAAAAGAAGGAAGATAAATTGGTAAATCTTGATAGACAGAAAAATATATGTATAAGTACATAAAGAGGAAAGAAAAAAATTGGTACATCTAAATAAACGGAAAAGTATTAAACGAAGTACATACGTTGGAACAAGTATAATAAAAAAGGAATGAAGATAAATTGGAAAAAATAGCTACATAGAATGACAACACACATAAAAAAGCACATAAGAATTAAAAAGGACTAAATTGGCAGAAACTGAAAGATAGATAGGTACACAAACATATAGTAAAGTTCATAAGAAGGAAGGAAAGGTAATTTGTACAAATAAATAGATACATTTTTTTCATAAACTCATTTTTTCTACCCAGGATTGTGTATTTCTCAATATTCCCCTTTTACCCTTTGGACTTATTATATTACTAATATAATTGATAGCCGATGGGTGAATGGTATGTCAATAAGAAACAATTACTTACGTAGAGATGTGTGGGATTTAGTGATCGTTAATTAATGATTATTTTGAGGTCGCGAGATGTGACGTAGGGTTTCTAAAAACATTTCCTTTATCGTGCCAACGTTTCGATCTTTATTGAGATCATCTTCAGGGCTCATAGTGTTTGTTTTTCGTGTAGATGTGTCATTTTTAATCGGAATGGCACATCTTCACGCCCTGCAGATGATCTCAATAAAGATCGAAACGTTGGTACGATAAAGAAAATTTTTTTCTAAAAACAGCGTCATTCCAGAACGCATCTCATGACCTCCAAAATATACTTAAGAGTAAGTAAGAGTGTAAATGGGTTTGGTTTTAGAAACTGATTGCATTGAGGGCTGAAATATCCTAGATATTGATAGCCTCTGGAGCCCCACTTGGGATGCTGGACCGATAAAACCGAGGTCTGACCCCGAACTGCCAACACCAGCCATGAGTGATTCTGGAGGCCTGCCGATAATTTATTATAAATTGCAAAAGCTGGAATTGCCGATGACTGCAAGATCTATGTATGTACATGTGTGTGCAAATTTGAACATGTATAAATCATTAAGCAGTAAATTTAACAAAACTTATAAAAAGGTATATATTAAGAACAAAAAGTTCATTAATAAAAACTAATGGACACAGGAAACTAGGAAGAAAAATGAAAAGTTAAGTATTTATTTATATTACGTAAGAAAACAATTCTTTTCTGGCTATAAGCCATGCTAAGAGATAAAGTTCAGAGAATGTCTGCAATTCGTTCTTTGCTCTAGTCACTTTGCTTTAAACATGTATGTAAATTAATTGGTGTTTGACTATGTGTTTAATCGATGTATGTTTTATAGTCATTATTAGAAAATAAAAGTGGATTGAATGAGCTGTCTGTGAGTTTTTCATTACGGCTTCAACACTTTTCAATCACCGAAGAAATCCAATTTCTCATTAAAACATTGTAAATATTACTACTTACTACTAGACATTAAATAATTCTTACCCTAACGTGTTCTGGGGCGTTTATAATGAAGGATACTGCGTCTGCAATGTCCTCCGGTTTAAGGTGAGGTGATTCAGCTAATGTTTGCATGTTGTCTTCAGGGGCCGATGCAAAAAGTTCACTTTGCACGTAACCGGGGCTCAAGCTCTGTAAGACAATAATAAAAATAAAACTCAAATCCTTTTAGATCGTAATAATAATTATTTTATAAAAATGTTAAAGGAAATAGAAGCCATCTAATTAGGCAAACGAGGCGAACTAAACGAGGCCTCCAAGGTATAGATTTATCATTGAGAGTATTCGTAGGAAATGGGATTACTTTCGGCTTTCATTTCAGATTAACCTGTTTCAGAAGTAGGCCGATGGTTTTTCCACAGGTCATTTACAACCCAGGATTAAAAGAGTTTCGAGGTCAAGGGAAAAAATTCTAATGGAAATTTTAGGAAAATGATTAACGGTCTTAATCTTTGAATAGACCAGGGTGCTATGACATAATTGATTAATGTGATTGTTTACTTCACTTCTTAATATTGCCACGGTAAAATATTACTGTAGTTTGAAATCGAAACCCCACTTCTGAAACAACGCCAAATTTTCAATTGTATCAAATTGGAAAAATTACGATAAAAAAGTCAGTGTCATGAGCGGGATACGAACCCACGACCTTCGGCTAGATACGCCGCTACTCTACCACTTGAGCTATCGTTACCTGGATCCACTCGGACACTAACTTCCCATCTCAACCGCACCTTTTGAATTTTCCCTCCTTTTTGCTATTTTTCATATGTCGTGTAATCTATTTGATTCTCGGCGACAAATGAAATGGCCACGGAGAGCTTTAGTGAAGGTATAATTCATTTTAACTTATTAAATTCATTAGTTTTCGGGGTCCGCCTGACCAATTAATATCTTTTAATTAATTAAGGTTTTTAGTTGAAATAAAAAAATCACGATCGAAGTCACGATAGCTCACGTAGTACAGAAGAGGCGTATCTAGCCGAAGGTCGTGGGTTCGAATCTCGCTCATGACACTGACTTTTTATCTCAACTAAAAACCATAATTAATTGAATGATATTAATTGGTCAAGCGGACTACGAAAACTAGTGAAGTTAGCAATAACTATTCTTTCTAAGGTCTTGTGGTCGAGATATAAAAGTAAGCATCACGAGTGGGATTCGAACCCACGACCTTCGGCTAAATACGCCTCTACTCTACCACTTGTGCTATCGTGACTTCGATCCTCTCGGACACCAACTCTCCATCTCAACCTACAACTGTTCGAATTTTTCCTCTTTTTGCCATTTTCAAATGTCGTGTAATCGTATTGGATTCTGAGCGATTTATGAAGTGGCCTCGGGAAGCTGTTTCGTGAAGTGATACTTCTTTTACTTTTTAAATATTAAATCATTTTTCGTAGTCGATTGACCAGGTTACTTCTTTCAATCAATTGATTATTCTTTCTAAGGTCTTGGTTGAGATAATAAAAAGTCAGTGTCACGAGCGGGATTCGAACTCACGACCTTCGGCCGGATTGACCTTTTATCTCAAGTAGAAATAATAATTAATTGATTGAAAGAAGTAACTTGGTCAAATGACTACGAAAACGTAAATGGGTCAACAATAACTTCGAAAAGCACGAAATTCGTCTTCAGTCAGAATTTCGTCTCGTTCGAAATGAAACGCAAATTGTACTTGAACGAGCTAAATATTACCCGTTTATTATGTTATTACCATTTTTAAATTAAAATGAATGCTTCTTAATTAATCCTGATGAAGAATATATTTTTTGTCTGACATTCTTATTGTTAGTGAGAATCAAGATTGATTCTATTTGTAAATTCATTTTCTAAACCTATTTTACAACATTTTTAAAAGAAGTTTTTTACATATAGGTTAACTATTTATTTATTCCATTAGGTTTACAATATAGAAAAATTAAAAAAAAAAACAAATAATGCTTTTCACGATTATAGTTATTTAAAAAAAAAAAAAAAAGCAATCCTTAATGTCCAAGCTCAAACAGCTACTTTATTATTTAAGTTTAATACTTAAACACATATTACTTGGAAATGTTTCTTTAACATATAAATGAGTGGCTAATCGAATTTACCTGAAATATTTGGTAAAAGCGAAAATTTTGATGAATTATCTCTGGTAATGATAGCAGCCGTAGATAATAAAAATACTAGTAACTATGTAAACATGTTAAGCATTACATGCGAACGTAAATTAAAGTTAATTAACGAATGGAGATATGAAAATTACATAAAGTAGATTCCAGGTTTTTATTATTTATTTTTTTTTTTTATATTTGTTTTATTGTTTATGCATTCTTAAACGTTGTGATGTCTTTTGCAGGTTAAAGTGCAACTTCTGTTAAAAATAAATATTGGGTTGTCCGGAAAATAATGCAGGATTTTGGTATTAAACAAAAAAAAAGAAACTAGTTACTTTAAAGCAATGTTCTTTAATCAAAATAATTTCCCANAGTAATCCTGTAAACGTAAACAGAATATTTTATATAGATTTTTTTTAATGAAAACTTAAAATCCTGCATTATTTTCCGGACAACCCGATAAAAGTTAAATGTAAGACAAGTGTTTAGAAATACGAGTTTAATCAAAATATTCAATTTTAAAAATGGAACGGAATATGCTATTTGATCAAGCTCTCTGGAAGTACCATCATGTTATTACCATAATGTGCCAGGTTTGGTTGAAAGGGTCAGCACAGTGATCCTTCTATTCAATAAATAATTCCGACGATGAAAGGTACGAAGTAAACTGGCCTCGGGGGACTGAGATCCTCATCCAGAAGCCCATTTTGTTGTGCCGTATCCAAAATTTTTTATACTCTTTTTTGCTGTGGGGGAGGGAAATAAAGTGAAGAAGAATTTCTTACCGACACTCTCGTCTTGCTCTTAGCTCTAATTAATTCCTGACGCAGCCCCTCGGATATCACCTTCTGTGCGTGTTTCGTCGCCGAGTAGACGTAGAAACCGGGAAAATCTGCCAGGGTCCTGTGGCCTACAATGCTGAAATAAAAGCACTATTTTGGCAGGGTTTTATGTCCGTTATTGACAGTTTAAATTAAGCACGAGGCCAATTATTAAGCATTTTTATTAATTGTATTCAATAGAAAACATTCCGAAAAATACTCGGATAAGCCCAGTTAGTTGATCCTTGTATGGCTTTTTCATGTTTAAGCTTTTTCTTTTAAAATAAAAAATTCCCTTAACTCACCATTAATATATTCACTTTTGGATAACATTTCTCTTTATAATAACCTGAAATTGGGCCAAAGCCCGCGCAGGTGCCCTTTATGCAGAGAAAGGTTGCTCGATGTGTCCCACATAATAGAGGCGTGTCATGCCTTGGCTCCATACAGAGAGCGTGTAGGCATGCCGCCGGATTTAAGAAGAGTCCTCGAGCATGGTAGCGAGTTTCAGAGTCCCCTGTTCCGCTTTTTAGGGGAAATTGGGGTTTTTTATTGTATATAGTATGTCTTATGTGTTATGTGTCTATATGTTTTGTCTGTGTGCATGTATTTATTAGCGTGAATGGCGAGGGGTGAGGGTGAATATAACGTCATCATCGCCCCTCGAACGATGAAAGCGGGTGAGTGTGTGTTCGGGGTCGATGGCGGAATATTTATAAAAGTACCCCATCGACCCCAATCTAGTTTAGTTTAAGTGTAGGTCGGTGGAGGAATATCAAGTACTCCGCCGATCAAACGGAATGAGTGTACTGTATGGATGTATTTAAGTGTATAAATGTATTTATTTGTATGAACGTGTATAGAATATAGACTTAGTGGGGGCTGAAATGACCTAGATGTCGGAAGCCCCGGGGGAAAAAAAAATAAATAAATAAAAAAAAAATAAAATAAAAAATAACCTGAAATTAATTCTCTTTTGATGGCTTTTTCCTACATTGATAAAATATTAAACAGATAAATTCGGCAAAGTCTGACAATTGTATCAATTCGACTCTTAATAATAATAACCATATTTTTGTGTGGTTATTAGTGATCGTTAGTTGATAATTATTCAGAAAAATATTTTCATTATTGAGCCAACGTTTCAATCTTTATTGAGATCATCGTCAGGGCCTGGGATTTACAAACATTGTTTAAATTTATCAAATACATGTAGGATGTGGAAAAAAGTGAATTTGTACAATGCAAAAAATTATTGTTTTATATTCAATCAAAGTATTTCTACTCCCTCAAAGTGTTTGTTTTCTGGGTAATTGTGCCATTCTTGTGTGTCGTGTTGAGAGTGCCAGTGGGATATTGCTGTTTTATGTTTATATACGAAGGGGTGGGGAAGGAGGTCTGTATAGAAAGACATTTTCAAAAAACTTTGTGTGAGTAGAAATACTTGGAATATAAAAAAATAATTTTGTCATTGTATAAGTTCACTTTTTTCCACATCCTACATGTATTTGTTAAATGTAAACAATTTTTGTAAATCCCAGGCCCTGAAGATGATCTCAATAAATATCGAAACGTTGGCACGATAAAGAAAATGTTTTTATGAAACCTACATCACACCAGACCGCATCTCACGATTTCTAAATAATCAATATCCATATTATTTACTCATGCAAGCAAGCAAATGGCATGAAACAATAAAATATCAAAACCAAAATTGTATAGTTATAAATTTACCTGCAAATATTTACGATATGTCCATCATCTGTATTATGGTTTTTCAATGATTTTAGCGTCTCTCTAACACAAGTCCCAGCTGCGATCACATTCAAATCGAACATCTTTTTCCACTCGTCCGTGTTGCCCTCTGGGAAACGAAACACATTCCTTTTTATAAACACAAATATTGATTTATTAATCACTGCCGTGATTAAAATTTAAATTATTTTATCGATAAAAAGTTAATAAATTTATATTACTGTTCGTAAATTTGTCGAAGTATCATTGTTTTGAAATGTTTCCAAATGCATGAAAAGTTTTGTGGCGGAATTTAAATTCCATAAAAATTTGATTGCACTACAAGTATTTTTTTGAAATACAAAACATAAGTACAAAATAAATAAGTTGACTTTTTCGAGTGTTTTATAAAAGCAAAGGGTATTGAAGTAAATGTTATGTGGTGCACATGGATAGAAAATAAAATATCATTTTTTGTATATATGCATACACATCCACTCTCTCTTCCTCTCACTCACTCTCTCTCCCTCTCTCTCTCTCTCTCTCTCACTCTCACTCACTCTCTCTCTCTTTTTTTTTCTCTCCCCCTCTCTCTCTCTCTCTCTTTTTTCTCTCCCCCTCTCTCTCTCACTCTCTCTCTCTCTCTCTCTCTCTCTCTCTTTCTCTCTCTCTCTCTCTCTCTCATACACACACAAAGACACACAAGAACACAAGGATGCAAGGCTATGAAAGGCTAATATTTTTCGACTTAGGAGCTCCTTTGATAGTTGTATTCGTAATAATTACATATTATTGATTTTACATATTATCGATTTCTACAAAAAAAATAATAATCGTATACGTATCATAAATATTTAAGAAATATTTTTTTTTTATTGTGACCCTATCAATGTAAAAATGTCCTCCCCTTGTGTTTTTAATTGTAAAACAAACTTTTTAAAGACAACGTTTTAATACGAATTTATTAACATACATGGCACAATGAAGCCGGGTTTATGTTTGTAAATTTCAAATAGTTTTGAAGAAAAAATTACACAAATTGGTATGTATATTAATCTTAAATTACGTTTTGTTTTGCAAAGCAATCCCATTTATCTACGTATTGTGAAAACGTAGACAGTTTTATTACTGTTGATGGTTTATATGGTTATGTGCTTTCATTCTAACAGAAAATAAATATAAATTAGTACAATAATAAAACACGTACAGAATAACACCCACCGACCCAGGCGTTTTCGTACACAATGAAATTTAACATTTTTATAATCCATTCTCTGATTTTATCATAAATAATTATTTATTTCTGATTTTAGATACCCATACAATTAAATAAGCCAAAATGAAGAAACGCGTCTGACAGATCATCACTGAAGAGACTGTCAAATCAAAATGATCTATAGCGACTAAAATATGTATTATTAAATTATAAGGGGTTAGTTTTTCGTCATAATATATCCTACTGTGGGCTGTGGGAAATTTTGCCATCTTCAGTTGTAAGGGTGCCGACAGACAAACTCAAACAAAACGCCGCAACTTGTTTGACAAACCTTCCCAGCGTACAAATGGATGCCCTCTTCCAAACTTTCCTGACTGGCATATCCCACGTGTTTTCTTCCCTCTAAGAATCCACATCCTAAGAGATTACAATACTGAATTCCCTCACGTTCAAAAATTGCATACATCCCACATCCCATCGTGGACCGCCCACTCCATCTAATTGCCACAAAGCCTCATCTTTCAATAAGGAACGAACCCCACTGTGTATATTTAAAAATGAATTTCTAAGGTTCAAATCTGCACATTCAGAAGAAGTTTTTGTTTTCACTGACGGTTCCAGGTCTGAGGATGGAAGTGGATCTGCTGTTGTCTGTGGGTCACAAGTATATCGTTTCCGCCTGCATCACCATTGCTCTAGCTTTACTGCTGAACTCCTAGCTATACTCAAAGCAATTAACATCATTTATGTGTCCCTTACCACCCAAATTATCTGACCTGACTCTCAGCACTCACGACACTAAAAAACATATTCTCCTTAAACTCAGACATCTATAGTACTCTTGCAAAGTTAAAGCAATATCTAGACATAGGAGCAGAAGTACTATTCAAATGGATTCCAGGACACGCTAGAATAACTGAAAATGAGAAGTCGGACGGAATGGCGAGAGAGGCAACCATCGATGGTACTCCTCACAGAAAGGTACCCTTCAGTGACCTCTGCTGTCACTGTAGGCGGCTCGTCTGGGAGGCATGGAAGTGTGAATGGGGTGCCTGCACAGGAAACAAGCTGCTCGCAATAAAGAAAAATGTAAAGACAGGGGAATCCTCTTCCAGACCTTCCCGAAAAGAAGAAACCCTCCTAACCCGGCTTCGAATTGCCCACTCTCGACTCACCCATCATTTTTTCCTTGAAAGAACCCCTAAATCTATATGTCCACTCTGTAAATCTACTATCACAATATCCTACATCGTAATAAATTATCCTTTATACACCTTTACAAGAACCCTCCACCAAATCTCCAAAGACCTCCAATCCATACTAAACAACAACTCAACATCAATAAACAAAACTTTTAACTTCTTAACAGACATCCAACTAATAGATGAAAGTTAATCTCCCATCCCCTCAACTCATGTTTCCTCTGCTGGTACCCGTGTTGGCGTTGTGGCGCGGTTGACTTCTGGCGACACCCGTCGCATTCTCGTCAGTCTTGGGCTCTGAGATCAAGGAATCTCCAGCGAGCTTGGAGGTGGTGTCGATGTTGACTAAACACCGACCCCTTCTTGATAAAGCCTTCACACAATGTTAAGATTAAAAGCATCAGTTGCGATAAATCCGTCGGTTTCCGATCTTTCCAAACCTGGGGCTGCCATTACGCCGGTGTTTGCTGGGGCTTCACTCTGATGGGGCCGGTCTGCACAGTTGACTTATACAGACTCAAGGTTGACAATGACCAATAAGATCGCAGCATTTATTTAAGAAAAAAACTACCGATGGATGATAAGCATACGATAGTGATGAGTAACAACCAAATAATTTGACTTTGTTAGATATTCCCTTTATGTTTTTTTATATAAGGTGTTAATATATGACTATTAATAATCGTATGTTTTATTAATATCCGGGCTCACCCATTAAAATTAATTGTCAGCCATATGAGCTTTGTACTTATTACTTTTATCTTTTTCTTCTTTGTATGGTTAACTTTTAACTATATTCAATTCAAATAAAACATAAAATGGAATGTAAAAAATATCATATCAGCATATTCTAAACAACCAACAATAATTTGTTTGTTCAAAAATAAAGCTACCAGTAAGGTTTTTGCAAGCAATTTCTCAGATTTTTTGTCATTCAAAAGTAGTCCGGCATTGCAAAGGACTATTGGAAAAAGGAAAAAATTCCATCGTCCAACTTTTTACAAGTGAGTACCTTTTGTGTCCCGTAAAATGGAAAGGCCGGCGTTGTTAACCAAGATTTTGACCGGCTGTTTTAAATTGGTTTCGATCCACTGGAACGCCTGGACCACTTCCGACTCATCTGTAATGTCGGCCTTGTAGGGGTAAACCTTTCCCTTCTCATTTAAAAGTCTCTCCGCCAATTCCTAAAACACAAAGTTTCATAAAAATTTATAACAAAATATTGTTTAACATATATACAAATTTATTCCATACATCCTAACCAAATGTCCCATCAGAGAGGTTTGCAATAAATTTTGTGTGGTTTTTACATATTAGCATTTTTTCGTCAAAAACAATAAAAATCAATACATTAATCTTTTTTTTTAAAACTAACTTACAATAGAATACATGACGATATTCGTAGGAAATAATTATACCAAATAGTACAAACGAATTTTGTTTTTATCGGGTATAATAGTAAATTATCCTCCCTAAAAAAGTTTCATGAAGAAATTTCTCAGAAAAATGTGTAAAGTTTAATATATTCATGAGACTTAAAATTAAACCACACATCTTCAGTTGCCACGATTTCAAGCAAAAATGTACTACTCCGGGTGAAGTAATAAATGGTTTCGTTTATCGCTCAATCAGGAAGATCAGAGTAATTAATCAGATTATCGTGAATAATTGTGTTTTATGTGATAACGACGGCCCTATTTTATTTGTTACTACATACATCTGGAAAAAAACATTTCGATCGACACTGGAGACAATTTCTTTCCAAGTGTCAAGACGATTGATTAATCATTGCCTTCAAAATGAAAACGGCCACATTTTAATACTTTTTAAAAGGATAGTTCCTACTCACAGTAAGTTGTTTTGCAACGATCCGGATTTCGAGCCTTTTAGCTCATCATCAGGTTGTAGAAGTCCTTCAACCTGATGATGAGCTAAAAGGCTCGAAATCCGGATCGTTGCAAAATAACTTACCGTGAGTAATCCTTTTAAAAAGTATTGAACACCACACTCACTCCATCATTTATCATTTCTATTAATCGGCCACATTTTTGTTTGTTTTAGAGGTATATATCAAATCTTTGGCTGGTTCTATCAAATCAAATGTAAAACTTGCATTTTAACACGGGATGTTTGGGTACTGGCAATTGATCGTGGCAAATTGCATTTCCCAAACACTGGCGGCTATCAGTTTTGCATATTAATGGAGATGTGTAACGATTAATTCCGAAGTGAAAGCACAAAGATTTTTAGATTTAGTAACTTATTGTGTTATTTTAATTGATACAATATTGTAATGCATGATTTAATATCAACGCACAATCATTGTTCGAAACTTTTTTTTTGACAGGGGCATCCGACAGCTTGGTCATTTCAGCCCCGAGCGCATGCGAAATATTGCAACACACATTCAATACGCATTAACACAAATAAATACATTCACAACTATATACATTGCATTCATTCTGTTTGGTGGATGGAGAACTGACTATTCCTTCATCAACCTGCACACAATAACAAACCAATCCAATTGGGGTCGACGGGGTACTTTTATAAATATTCCGCCATCGACCCAAGTCTTGTACACATCACGAGGGGCGATGGGGATGCTACTCCACCATCAGCCCCTCCCCATTCACTCTCATAAATACACTCACCATACAAAACACAGAAACACAAAACACATATCTTGACGACTAAATACAATGAAAAATTCCTAATTCCTCTAATAAGCGGAACAGGGGATCCTGAAACTCGCTACCATATTCGAGAACCATTCTTAAATCCGGCGGCATGCCTACACGCTCTCTGTATGGAGCCAAGGCATGACACGATTCTATTATGTGGGACACATCGAGCAACCTGTCTCTGCATAAAGGGGCACCTAATATTTTCTTATTCTAACTCAATCTAATAAAATTTTCAAAACCGTCTATTACCTATGAGCTGGGTTATCGACCTGCTGGAAACATGAAGTTTTTTCGGAGGATCTACGGAAGAGGTCAACACAAAGAAAAACTTCCTTTCGGTTTTCGCCGAACTTTCGACAGTTTTTCTACTGTCATCTTCAGGGTCTGTTTTATTATCATATAAAAACAACAATTAAAAACATGAAAAAACAATTGCACAAAAATTGAATTTTTTTAAAATACAAATCTTACTTAAACTTTAATGGGAAAATAAAAAGACATGGTGTCGTGGGCACAGAAGTACATTACGTTTTTTGGTGCTCAGCACCTAAACATGACATGACAGTAGTCTGAAGATGACAGTATAAATACTGTCGAAAGCTCGGCGAAAACCGAAAGGAAGTTTTTCTCTGTGTTGACCTCTTCCGTAGATCCTCCGAAAAAACTTCACGTCTATTACCTATTCATTTTTTGTAATTATTAAAATTTTAATTATTTTCTTCCTTTTTCTTGTACTTCTAATTTATATGGTAGCTTTAATTTTTCGTATTTGTAAATGTTTATATATTTTTTGATGGGGTTAAAGAAAGTACTTTATATCCATGCTGTTATAATTTAGAAACAATTTTAGAACGGTATAAAAATTGCAATAGAAAATAGAAAAAAGGCTTTTTTCTTCTGCCCATTTGAAAATTATTTTTTGTCAATTTCAATTTATAATAAATAATGTTCCTAATATAATAATAATAATATAATTCTTTTCAAAATATGTTATAAACTTTACAAAATATGATTAAAGAAGTTACGGCAAGGGTATACCTCGTCATAATTTATGGACAGTACAGAAATCCTGATATTGCTTAAGACGTTGCTAAAGTCCATGCCAATGGCAAGTTTTCTCTGTCAAGTATTTTACAATAGCCTGCATTGCTTTTATAATGTAAGTAACGACTAATTTATGTTTATCCAACCTTCAATAGATTTTGCATATCATTTCCTATTATACGTTGACCTTCTCTGGAATATAAAAGCGTGATTCGATGACTTCTGAGATTTGTATAAAGAGGATTAAGTGTAAATTTTAAAAGGAATTAAAAGGAAATCTCGCTGAGGATAAAATTCATTCAAATACCACTATTATACAGCTTAAACATTGTATTGAGCTTTTTTATGTCCTCTTTCAGAGTTGACAATAGAGCTTATCTATTCTTAGCCATAACTAAAAGCAACAAATATTTTAAAAAGTGTAAAATTAAACCAAACTTACGACTATTTTATTTACTAACAGGATGCGAAATATATGATATATTTTGTAAACTTAATTACCTTAACCTAACTTATGAAAATATTCAAATAATCCGGTATTTTGGGTTGCAATTAGATGCTAACTTTGTCTTTCAATATCAACTTTTCTGTAATAATCTGTCGTTTTTCATAGAAAATACTCATTACTTGAAAAAAAAATTCTGGCTCAAATTATATAATACAAAAAAAATCAATTATTATTCTTGAAAAAACATAATTAAAGGGTATGGTGCCTTTGGTGAAATGCACGTGAAAGCACTATGATTGTCCAAGTTGTCCAAAACAAATATTTGAAACAGGTCAGTTCATTTCAGAGATGAATTCCTAAGCTGCGTGGAAATTTGGTCAATTTTCGTGTAAACAATTCTTATCAAGATATACAGGGAGCCTCGCTGTGACGTAGAATAATATTCGGTCATAATAATGGCGTTGAATGCCGCAGAAATGCGTTTTCTAACCTAATCCGGCGAAAAGGTACATTTTATTTTTATAAAAACCTATTACACAAATTATTCAGAAATCGTGAGATGCGGTCTGGTGTGATGTAGGTTTCAGAAAAACATTTTCTTTATCGTGCCAAAGTTTCGATCTTTAAAGAGGATCATCTTCAGGGCTCAAAGTGTTTGTCTTCTGTGTAATTGTGCACTCTCAACACGACACGCAAGAATGGCACAATTACACAATCACTTTGAGCCTTGAAGATGATCTCAATGAAGATCGAAACGTTGGCACGATAAAGAAAATGTTTTTCTGAAACCTACATCATACCAGACCGCATCTCACGATTTCTAAATAATTATCGATTAACGGTCACTAATCATCACACTATTACACAAAAATGATGTTTCCTATGCATTTTTCATCAAAATAGAGTTCAGTTTTAAACCAAGTTAAATTATCCGATAACAGTTTTGCTAGCAGAAACTTTAAAATTTAACTTTGGAAGATAGTGAAGAATTTAAACTTCCTAGAGTTGGACCAATTGTATAAAAACTACTTCATTTAATTAGTTATCAGATGGTATGTTGTGTTGGATTGGTAAAACCTTTTTCGAAAATTATAGTATAAGAAACCATCTCACCCATCATAAAAAGTACATAATGGCAAAATCGGGATTTGAATAGAAAGAAAATATTAATTTAAAAGTTATGATAAAATTCCGAACATTCCAATATCCTCCGCATGCAAAGAACCAAATCCATAATTCTAAGAAAAATCCTTGATGCTCCCTTTTATGTGCCCAACAAAACTAGGCATACAGATGTAAATATTCCTTTAGTCCAAAATGCAATCCACTGTTTTTATCATCAATTTCATATCCACCACAATCGTCTCAAACCCTCAACCCGAAGAATTCTTTCCAACCCTTCTCGTAAAAAGACGATTCAATTTATAAACTCACTGTTACTTGTTACCAAATTGAAGATAATTGTAATGCACTGTAAATTTAAAAAAATGAAAATAATTTTTTTACAAGAAAACAGAATATTACAGTTAAAACATACAGTAAATATTTTAGAAACGATCCCAGTTGAGATGAAAAATGCATAGTTAAAGGAGAGAAACTGTTAAAAAAATACAAATATATGAGACCGCAACAAATCCTACTTAAATGTTCTTGTTTTTTTTTTCTCCCAAATTTTAAACTTTCATCTGATTACAAAAAAAAAATATAAATATAGTAAGTCACCTACACAGCCAATATATATTATGTATTGTAGGTTGGGTCACCAAGACCCGAGGGGCTCGTACCCCACCTACACAGCCAAGAAAGCGCCGAATTGGAACTGACGCGGCGGAATGACAACATTGCGTTGAGGATATTACTGACGACAAGCGAAATGAAGAACAGCCTTCAGATGAAGCACCTCAGCAGGATCCATCATACTGAATTCTGCAAGTCTCCGAATAGGTCAAACAGTCAGTGGAAGCGGGTATCTAAAGAGCGTAAGTTCCTTCAAGTCAAGAGTTTTCACAATAATATGCGACGATATGGGAATCCTTCATCATTTCCAGCTCCTCCTTGCAGAAATGAGATGGCTGTCTCGTGTGAAAGCACTTTCACGATTACAGGAATTACGTCTCTGATGATGGACCACATTGTCACATTTGCCAACTTTTCAATGGCAGGAAATGGAATTGATATTCCATTTGATATTGATATTTTCATGAAAATAAATGGGATGGGTCTTTCTGTTCAAGGGATGAGTATCACCACTTTTCATGCTAATGATGTTCTTTTTGGCTCCTTCTGGAAAACAAAAATTTCTACCGTTCGCTGAAGAAGCAAAACTTGTTCTTCTTCTATTTGCCAATTGTGTCTACTACATGCCAACAAATTACCTAATCCGGATTTTCTATCTATACAGCCACCAGAAATAAATACTGAAGCATTGTCTAGATACTGAGCACGACATCCGTCCTCCAGCTATCAGATTAAACCCAACCATCGAACTTATGAAGGCTATAACCATCTTACTCTTCCCATTAATTCAGTAATCATTATACTTGAAATTATTACTTTTGAATTTTGCTCGAGTTTTACCTACCTATCGATTCCGTTCTGTTCAGTTTGATTTTTGTGTTCCCGAATTGTAAGTTAAGTATGTCATTCCAATGTAATTTCCCCCCTCGATCACCTAATCATGACTGGGCTGGCTAATGCTAATTTATATTTTAAATACTTGAATGACAGATGTCGGCCCTGGATTTTAATTTTTGAAAGGGGTCCGCTGATTAAATATATTGGGAAGCCCTGGCTTAGTTTATTCATTAATGTAGAAAAGGGAAAAAAGTGGTACAGATTTTTTTTTTTTATCATGTGGGCATGTAATGATGTTAGCGATATACGATAGTTATTTACATAAATAAGAGGAGGAGTTGATATTGTTGAAACCAATTAATTCTATAATAAAATATGCTCTATTCTAATATTTCTAAAAGTCCCGTTTTGCATTATATGACTTTGATCCAAAAAATTGAATTTAATATTCGAATTTGATGGAAGTAGATTACTTCTTCATAATTTTTTCACGTTCACAGATCATCTTAGAAAATAATTTTTCTGTTCAACATGGCAGTGTTATTATATGATATACCATACAGTACGTCAATTTGGATTTTATTTACCTTTACTTTGCTCTCTCTCCGGGCGATTCCGACGACGTTGACTCCCTGTTTTGCAAGGTTTTGCACGATGGCAGCCCCGATCCCTGAGCTGGCTCCGGTCACGACGGCCAATTTTCCGACACAGCGAAACATGTCTGCGACAGAACTAATCGACCACTGAAACGATCCTGTCGCCTTTGTCCCTTGAAGCCTCTACCCCTTCTACTTTGAGCACTTTGGATAACACCTTTTATCACTTAAATATGTGTTGTTTTTTTGTCAAACTATCAGGGTCGTCCATCTTAACCTAGCCAGTCCTAGTTTTTTAAAGTAGTTTTCACTTCTTACAGAAAATGTTGCAATACTTGTTATTTGCAATTGATTGTAACTTTTAGTTTAAACAATATAATCCTAAAATTCGATTTACTCCCTCAATAAAAGGGTTAATTGAACAGGCAACGACGTCTTACCAAATTAAATAAGAAGAATAAATATTTGTTGATTGAAAATGAATGAACCACAAAAAATTTAGCATTTTACTAAATAAATACAATTAGTAATATAAAAACCAAAATACACTAACTGAAATAACAAAATCACAGTGAATTAAGGCATTCAAATAAATAACGCAATTATTTTTTATATTTGATAAATAAAAGTAAATTGCTTAAAGTACCCAAGAAACGTGTATAATGCACGAGTATACCACATAAAATCTGCATACATTTAATTAATATAACAATGTCAGAAATATACATACATCTTCTGTAGTGTAATGTCATTGAACATAAATATGACAGAAAATAGTGTACTTACTTTTGATATAAATGAATAGAGAACTTATTGTAGAATGTAATGTACCTTGTATACCTTACCATGTAATAGAAATACCATTGTATACCATTGTATGCACCACAAAAAATAAATAATCACGAGTTTTGAGTTGTATATAAAAAAATATTATGTTTATTCCATGATAGAATTCAACGGGTTTGGACCAGAATTCAACTTTATTACAAGAGGAACACAAACAAAATTTTATAATCCACTGTTATTTATAGAATCTACGCCCAAAAAATTGTAATTAAACGTGCAATGTTTATAAATTAATTACAGATACGACAATATATTCCATACATAGAAAATGGGAGTAAATGAGATTAGAGTTATCTCTCTGTAATAATCGATTTTTTGTTTTGATAGTACGGATCCGTAATAAAACAAGTGGTGTAGTTTTAAATAATACAAAGGATCAGATTAACGTAGTTTAAACGTGCCTGAAATTTTCGTTGAATTTACCATACAAAACAAAAATCTACGGACAAATATTACAATACATTTGGTGGTACTCCATCTTAAAAAGTTGAGACAATAGTAAAATTGAAACACAAATAAATTAAAACTCTAATATTTTATTTATTAACATGATTTACTTATTGACGAAGGGCTACAAAGAAAAGAGAAAACCTTCGATAATAAGATGGAATATCGAGTACAACACAGATTCCCTGAACTAGGTTAGCTTTGGGTTAGTTGCGTTTAGAGTAAAAGCGGGGAAGTACGGACGAAATACAATATTAATACCCCAGTGAATCCCAAATTTTAGCGGTACATATGGTAGGAAAGGTTATAACCAGATGACTGTATTTATTAGCGTAAATTAGGGCACGCCTTCAGCGAAATATCTAGTACCCTGAAACCCGACAAACTAAGTTTAGGATAAGTATGAATGTTCAGGTATGAAATCGCTATGGGAGAGCCGATTCTTTTCATCCTAGAAAAGGGAAAAACGTGAGGTGCTGGCCATAGCCCTCGTAGCTGTCCTGCTGGCAGAAAAAAAGCAACCTTAAATAAAAAAAATTGAATTGTCTTACAGTAAAATGCAAAAAGCTATAGTTTTCCTGATCAACTAAAAACTTTAGGCTTCGCTGGTGTTTGCTTCCTTTGGTGCAGATCTCCCACTGCCCAACTTCGCTTTGCATCTCAGGATCAATCATGTACCATTATGACTGGCCCGGGTCTGTCAGTGTTGGTCGGTCTGCTGAACGGCCGGAATCCTCTAACGAATGACAGAAAATCTTCGCCCTCGGTCCATATGTCTGGAGGCTATGGATAGCCCAAAGGGTTAGGGAACGCGTGAAGATCGTTCATTCTCTATTGTTTAATCCCGAGATCCCTGAGCGTTTTTCTACTTCGCTCTGGTATGAAAAATTACACCCCGCAACTACACCTCCCTGCCTTGAGGTCCGCTACTAGAAACAATGCGCCCGTGGTGAAGTCATTTACTTTGTCATGACTCTATCAAATATAACAAGCCCAGGGAAGAAACAATAAGTGACAGACAAAATTGTTCTTTTCCCTCGGTTCGCTCAAGAATAGAAGAGACAGAGCGACTATTGTGCCTCAAAATGACAACTATTCTGTCTGGACAACGACCATAGGGAGAATAGGTCCACAGAATAAACAAACTTTGGTCAGCAAAATGTGCTGTGCAAACAGCTCGCCTCAAGACTTCCAGCACATCGTTTATGAATGTCCTCCGTTCGAGCAAAGTAGAAAACCGGAAAACTCCATGCATCCACGCAAAAGTGTATTAATGAAAAACGGTATTATGATTTATATTAGTGCCTTAGATATCTATCTATCTCTCCCTCTCTTTCCTTCCCTCTCACTCTCTCTCCCTCTCTCTCTCTTTCTAGTATTACGACATAAGTCGCAATGATATATATCCTATAATTAATATAAGCAGGGTTAAACATACGTATCAGATATATCCTGAACACGAAACATGACAGTTGTATATAAAAAGTTTTCGCAACTCAAATTTCTTAAAATTAAAGATTTAATCGATTACAATCTATCATGTAAAGTTTTTAAAATTCTAAAAGTTCAAAAACCGAAATATTTATATCTCTTGTCTAGTTGAATGATATCTTAAATTTAATTTCTTTTATAATTCGTGACTTGTACTGCATTGTATTGAAAAGTATTTTTGTTCACTTATTTTATTTTATTAGTAAAGTAAAAATTATATTAGTGTCTTTTATTGAAGCTATTATTTCAAATTTGCTTAATAGCTACTCCATTTGTTGAGGTTTTGTGAATCTGTTTACAGAATATTAAAGATCTAAATAGTTTTTCCTGCCATAATTTTAAACACTATACAATTTTAAAAGCTTTTTCTATAAATAGGGTTTAAAGATTGAAAAAATGTAAAATTAAATGTAGAAATAGGAGCATAACAAATTTAATGATATTTTCCATTATTTGTCTGCATTTATTATGTAATTTATATTAAAAAACAAAATTTAATTTTAAAAGACACTAAAATAATTGGATATTATGTAAAGTTGTATCAGAAAAAATTAAATATCATAGTAATAATCATTTTTATAAAATTCTTTCATAATTCATAATTGACGTATGTCACTTTGTGTTATTATGATTTGAAAATGTGTTAGAAATTCAAAATGTAAATCGTTTAAAGAGGCGAGAAATGAGAGATGATTACTACTTAATGATGCATTATTTTCCGTCTTTTACGCGAACGGTTCAATTATTCTGAGTGCTGAGTCTGTAGGGGAAAAGCGAATAGGGTTTTGTTATAAGGTTCAGTCACTTGTGGCAAGTTTGGAACATATGGGCCAGCCGTGACAGGTATACATTAGCAGTGAAATAAGGCCAACGTGAATGGAAATTCTGGAATAGATACGAGAAAATCAGCCAGTTGACTTACGCCTAGCGAATATACACTTTTCAGACTTTTAAAACGTAAAATCAAAAAGGGTGAAAGAGTGAGAGAGAGAGAGAGAGAGAGAGAGAGAAAGAGAGTGAGAGAGAGAGTGATAGAGAGATGATGAAAGAGGAGGAGAGAAAAGAATAGAAAAAGTGTATTGGTCCAGAGATGGTGGGGGAGTGAGTGTACGTCTGCTTGGATAAATAAAAGAGAGAAAGAGATCGGAGAAAAAAGAGAGAGATCAAATTTGCATCCTTAGCATATGATAGATTAGAATAAGGGATAAACAAGATATCAGAATGATTAGCGAGTGTTTCCAACTTCATCTCTTGAGTTAAGCGCACCTTCCTGACTTCAATTTGAAAGTTGTCGCCTAATCTCATTCAGGCTGAGTGGTTCCATTAACAAAATTTGTCCCAGTGAGCGCACTGAAGTGAGATATATGGAATTCAAGAGAATATCCGTTGGTTTTACAAGTATGCGCTATTCGAGGTAGAATTGGTTTTGCCCAAGATGCATTTTCATTTATTTCCCGATTGTATTTCATTAAGCAATAGTTTCTATATTATTCAAAGCTTCTATTAGATTTCGTGGTCCGATTGACCAAATAAATTCTTTTCAATTATTTAATCTTTAATTACGGTTTTGGTAGAGATAAAAACGTTAGTGTCACAAGCGGGATTCGAACCCACGATCTTTGGCTAAATACGCCGCTGCTCTACCACTTGAGCTATCGTGACTTCGATCCACTCGGACACTAACTTCACATCTCAACCCCACCTTTTTGCCATTTTTCAACAAGGAGGGAAAATTCAAAAGATAGGATTGAGATGGGATGTTTGTCCGACTGTATCGAGGTCACGATAGCTCAAGTGGTAGAGCAGCGGAGTATCTAATCGTGGGTTCGAATCCCGCTCGTGACGCTGACTTTTTTATCTGAACTAAAGACCTTAATTAAACATTAATTAATTGAAAAAAATTATTTAAAGCTTTCAATTTGGTTAAAACGTCGAATTTTCAGATAAGGAATTAAAGAAAATTAACAATAGTATTAGTAGTAATATTTAAATAAAATCCAAGGCATTTATAATTTCATGAGAATAATTTAAATGATATTACAATATTATATTATTATTACAATATTATACAATGTATATTCATTAGTTTAGTCTTATGTCCTATTAAATCGAATATAATCTTCGAATGCTCAAATAATAACTTAGAAAAATTCAACTGAACGAACTGAGCGTTTTCTTTCTAATTGAACTCATCCTTGATTGTCTTTTACTACACTGTTTAGTGTGAAAATTAAGTTGGTCTCCTTATAATTACAATTTCTTAAAACTTTCTCAAAATATTTCTAAAAATCTCTCAGTGCCTACATTTTATGTGAAAAACACAAACATTTATCAATTCACTAGTTTTCGTGGTCCACTTGACCAATTAATATCTTTCACTTAATTAAGGTTTTAAGTTGAGATAAAAAAG